GGGGGGAGCTGAGGCCGCTCCGTGTCCCCTTCCAGGACACGACCCGGCGGGAGGCGAGCGCGAGGAGCTGGCGATGGTGGATTCCACCTCCAGCCGCGGATCCAGGGGTAAGGAATTCCGGGGGGCGGGAAGAGGGGCCGGCAGGGCCTGATCCGTCCCTCTGTTCCCGCAGGAAGGGCTCGGAGGAGGCTGTCGCTGTCCCCGTCCCCGTCCCTGCGGAGCGCCCTGCGCGGCCTCTACACCCTGGCCCTGCTCCTGTCGCTGGCCGTGGCCGTGCTGGGAGCGCTGGGTGAGCCGGGAAAGGGCTGGGAATGCTGGGCTGGGAATTTGGGGGGGGATTGAGGCATCCCGGGGTGGAGGGGAGCGGCTGGAATTCCGCTGGGAGCGCCCTGGGGGTGGAGATGCCTCAGGAAGGGGGGAGGTGGGGGTGTTACCCGCATGGGAGCATCAGGAACCGACCCAGAGCCCGGGGGTTGGATCCCGACACGTTCCAGGTGCTTCCCAGGCGGAGCAGAGGGACAAGGTGCTCCTCAGGGGTGGAATCTCGGAGATACTTTGGCAAATCCCAGACCTGGGAGCTTCCGGGGATGCCCATCCCAGCCTGGCTCACTGATCCCTGGACAGCTTAAGTGCCTTCCTGGGAGGAAAGGTGTGGAGCAGGATGGTATTCCCGGGCATTCCCACCTCTCCTGACTCCCCAGAATCTCCCAGGTGTGGAGGGGAGCAGCTGGAATTCTGGTGGGATCACCCTGGGTGTGTGACACCGGGATCCCTCTGGATCTCAGGAACCACCTCAGAGCCTGGAGGTTGGATCCCATCCCATCCCATCCCATCCCATCCCATCCCATCCCAGGTGCTTCCCAAGTGCTTCCCAGACGGAGCAGAGGGCCAAGGTGTTCCTCAGGGGTGGAATTTTGGAGATGTTCAGGCAAATCCCAGACCTGGAAGCGCCTGGGGATGCCCATCCCAGCCTGGCTCAGCCATCCCTGGACACCCTCTGTGCCAGGCGGGAGGGAAGGTGTGGAGCAGGACGGTATTCCCGGGCATTCCCACCTCTCCTGACTGTCCCATTCCCCCCGCAGCGTTCCGGAGGGTGGATTCCATCTCCAGCCGGATCAGCTCGGCCCAGACCTTCTACGAGGAGAAGCTGCTCTCCATCCAGGAGGATCTCCAGGGCTTGGGTGAGTGGCCTGGACCCGCGCCCGGAGAGGCCTTTTCCAGGTGCCCATCCACCCGGAGAGGCCTTTTCCAGGTGCCCATCCACCCGGAGAGGCCTTTTCCAGGTGCCCATCCACCCGGAGAGGCCTTTTCCGGGTGCCCGTCCAGCCAGGGAATGAGGGATCTCCCTTTCCCGGCTCCCGGGGCTCCCCCAGAGCCAACCCCCTGCTTTTCTCCCGGGATTTTGGGCAGGGATGAACGTCAGACCCCAAGGGGTGGAAGGGGGGGTTGGAGAAGCTGCAGGAGCAGGAGGAGGGTGGGATTGGGGAGTTCCCTTCTCCAGGGTCACGGAATCATGGAATCACGACGAGATTGGGGTGGGAAGGGGCATCAAGGATCCGGAGGCATCCAGGGGCACTTCCCACGAGTCCTGGTGGCTCCAAACTGTCCTGGAGGGAAGGATTTGTTCCCTGGAGGGAAAGGAAGGGCTGACCATGGATCCAGAGGGGCTCCAGGCCTGGAGAGTGGGATGGGGTGGGATAACAGACGGATCTCGGGATGGGGTGGGATAACAGGTGGATCTCGGGATGGGGTGGGATAACAGGTGGATTTTGGGATGGGGTGGGATAACAGGTGGATTTCCAAACCTGGAGGGTGGGATGGGGTGGGATAACAGATGGATCTTGGGATGCAATGGGATGGTATAACAGGTGGATCTTGGGATAGGGTGGGATAACAGGTGGATCTCAGGATGGAGTGGGATAACAGGTGGATCTCGGGTTGGGATGGGATAATGGGTAGATCTCAGGATGGGATAACAGTCGGCTCTCGGGATGGGGTGGGAAAACAGATGGATCTCCAGCCTAGGAGGGTGGGATGGGGTGGGATAACAGACGGATCTCGGGATGGGGTGGGATAACAGGTGGATTTTGGGATGGAGTGGGATAAGAGGTGGATCTTGGGATGGGGTGGGATAACAGGTGGATCTCAGGATGGAGTGGGATAACAGGTGGATCTCGGGTTGGGATGGGATAATGGGTAGATCTCAGGATGGGATAACAGTCGGCTCTCGGGATGGGATAACAGGTGGATCCCGGGGTGGGATGGGATAACAGCCGGCTCTCGGGATGGGATAACAGGTGGATCCCGGGGTGGGATGGGATAACAGCCGGCTCTCGGGATGGGATAACAGGTGGATCCCGG